AAGACAGACTGAGAGAGTTGGGGCTGTTCAGTCTGCAGAAAAGAAGGCTCCGAGGAGACCTTATTCTTGCCTTCCAGTATCTCAGGGGGGCTACAAGAAAGCTGGGGAGGCGTTTGTGAGGGTGTCGGGTACCGAAAGGACTAGAGGGAACAGATCAAAGCCAGAGATGGGTCGGTTCAGATGGGACGTGAGGAAGAAGTTCTTCCCCATGAGGGTGGGGAGACCCTGGCACAGGTTGCCCAGAGAGGGGGTGAAAGCCCCATCCCTGGAAGTTTTTAAGGCGAGGCTGGATGGGGCTCTGGGCAGCCTGATCTAGTGGGGGATGTCCCTGCCCATGGCAGGGGGTTGGAACTAGATGATCTTTGAGGTCCCTTCCCACCCTGACAATTGTATGATTCTATGAAAACCAAATTCTGTGTATTTTACAGACGTCTGTTCTAGAAGAGCAACTTCATCAGCCTTGTTTTTACTTCATATACCAAGACCATAGCTATACCCAAATCATACCTTAAAAATTTTGCCAGTTGTGACAATAATTGGTTGTTCCATGCATTTTTCATCCTTCGTGATGCTTTCTTATATAAGCAATTTTTCTGTGTTTCTGTACCTGGCTTAGGTGTACCTGGTAAAGTATATTTTTGTGAGGCAACATAGTAAGAGACTTTAGCTTTTGGGCATCCCAGGAGTTTGGTTGAATTTTTTCTTATTTACCACAGATGGAAGAGCATGCTGTTTAGGATATAGGTTCTTGCTGGTTTATTCGTTTATATTAGCTCCAAAGAAAACTAAATGTATGCATGTAAATAGGGTAACATTTTAACAAATACGTGGCAAATACTTCATCTCTGCTGCCTAACACCTTGTTTCTCAGTGAAACGGCAGAAATTAGAGCACCTGTTAATTGGTACCCCAGAAGACTTCCGTTCCAAGTCACCTGCCTTTGCTTCCTCCTAAAGATCGGTAGTAAAAAAATTATAATTGAAATTTCAAAAATTCCAGTTCTACTTACATTGCTTCCTTTATGTTTACTTTCAGTAATAGATTGATTTTTTTTTCTCTTTTAATATTTACAAATTTTGCCTTGTGAAAATAAATACTTTAAGAAAGTTCAGATAGATTAATTTTTAAATTTTTCAACTTTTCTCCTAGAGAAGCTTTTGACATTTATCTTTAGCATAGAAAAGGTTTCTTCATTCATGGAAGAGTTTCCTTTTCAAGACAGAACCACTTATGAAGAATTATGTTGATCTGCGTGGTGATTTTGCTATCTTCTGCGGGAAAAAGAAGACATCTGTACCTGGAATTTCTAAAAGGGAGAGCAACTACCTTTAATTATCAATATGAAGCTTATTCAAATTTGAAGACTTGCCAATTAGAATACTCCTTAATAATATTTGGCTCCACTTCTGTGATACGTTCTAGCAGGTTACAAAAAAAGGAAATTGTTTTCTCCTTATCTGTACGTGCATGGTTTCGGCTCAAGAATGAAAAAATTCATTCACAGGAAATCACTAGAAAACGTGACTAACCTTAATATTTATTTAAGTCCCATTAAATTAATGTATCTGCTTAAGGAAAGTCACAAGCTCATTTCCCAAATCAGATATCTGTTTACTCTTTATGTTTGCTGCACTAGGATGGAAATTACGTGTACAGTACTTACATAATTTATTCCTTCCGCTTTACTAGAGATTGCATTGGACTGAATTACCTCAGCTGAAAGTGAAAGGAAGGAAGATATTTTTCTATGGAATCACAGTGTATCTCTGTTTTCCTTTCTTAGTTGGCAAAGGTGATTCATCCCCTTTCAGAAAAAAAAACAAAACAGCGGTGGGTTTGAGTTATTTGAGATGTTGGTGTGAGGTTTAAGCTGAGGACAGGAGCCCAGTAGGGCATTTACCTACTTTTTCCTGTTCTGTGCCATAATTTGAATAACAGTCATGATTTTGCCTAATTCACTCTCTGGCTTCTGGTTTAGCACGTTGGTTTCTGTGTGGCAATTTGAACAGGTTCATATTTCATGATTTTTATTCTAATAGCATCAAGCCAGAGATACTTCAGCCCATTTTATGTGGGCACTTACTCTGCAGCGTCTTAAGTATGTAATCCTGCGTGTAAAAGTACGAGATGCCAAAGGAAAGCAGATATTTTCAACCTTTTCACCAAAATGACTTAAGTTTTTGTTGTGTTACTGATGATAATGATGAAGAAATCACACAGACCAGAGGGTAAACCTGGATACAAGAAATCTACTTGCTAGTAGTAAGAGCAGTGTTAAAGCTCTGTGTCCAGATCTTGCATTTTCTCTCACTTTATTTTTTATTAATTCTTACAGGTCTCTTGCTGCTGGGTTTTTTGGTGTTTTTTTTTTCCTTTCCTTTGATTTTTAGGCTTTAAAAAGCTCAAGAACCTAAAAAAAAAAAATTTGCAGAATTTCTCTGGATTTTCTGACCTGAAAATGAAGTAACTTGAAATTATACATCAACCTAATTTTAGTGTCCTCTCATTGCAAGCTTTACAGCCTGACCCAAATCTTAGGTGGATAATGCAATCCAGGCCAATGCCTGCTAACGTGGTTTCATAAACAGTTGCTGCAATGCTGGCAATAAATTCAGTTTTCTACAAACAATGGAAATGCAGCGTTTGTTACATCCGTAAGGACGTTATTTCACATACGGATGTTTTGAAATATTAGCTCTTTGTGCTTTATGTGTTGATACAGCTTTATCTCAGCAGGCTTGCTTATCATGTCAAAAATGTCTGTACAGCTTTAGGCAGGTGCTGTTTAAAAATCATTAGTTCTTTTTTTCTTCCAGAATGAACCTTGTGTAGTCAGAGCAATCCCCAGAGATCGGCGGTTCCTAATCAATAACTCAGACCTTACTGACGAGGTGAAAGATCCCCTGTACATGCCAAGTGCACGTCATACTGCCACCTCGTCTTGCTGCTGTGACCAGGCAGGAATGGAACGTTACTGGTTTTCCCAGCAAAGCTCAGCTGCTAAGAGGCAGGAAAATGCTATATATAGCACTAAGGCCCTTATCTCTGGCAAATTAAATTATACGTCCAGACATGTCGTTGTGAAAGGGATCTCTCTTTCTCTCTTCAGTTCTTAAGAATGTCAGTTCACAGCACCTATAAATGCTGAGCCCTAATCTCAGGGTGTTAATCTGGGTACTTTTGTTCTCCCTTTCTTAGCTCACCCTATTTTGCTTTTGGCTAATGGCAGCCCTACTTAGCAAAAGGATATTTCTTTTGAATTTACAACTATTTTTGCTTCACGAGGTTTTTCTGTCAGAAATTCGAACCCTGCTGTTTTACCACTGCCTTGTGAGCCATTTTGCAAAAAAAAAAAAAAGTCGTCGGTACCTGCCTGTAAATGAAGCTTGTAGGTGAAAATGGGCAATATGTGAGGAAGGAAGAGTGTCAATATTGTATCTTTTCAATCCGTCAATATAAAGCTGTGTTCCTCAATGTTTGTAGTTTCAGAATCTGGTCATCTTTGGAGGTTTCCTAATGTACGTGTGTGTGTGTGTGTGGGTGGATTGGTGGGTGGGTGGGAGTTGTAATTTCCTTGTATTTTACAGTTGCTAATGTATTAGTGTAAGAGGAATTCCTCAAGAAAGCCATCATTTTGGAGTTTCTAGGTAGCAGGAAGAATATATAACGGTAACATTTCTACCCCTTTCCTCTGTGTTCCCTTTGTTTGAGGCCATCAAAGAGGTCATGGCTTCTTTCAAGGCTCCAGGGTCAGCTTTTCTTCCATCTGACCTGGACCTAGAAGTGAATATCATTTGCATCATGTATTTTGTCATCCACCTTTAAGATTGATTTATAAAAACCCCACCCCTCTTGCATGATTGCTGAGCTCTGGTCATTTCTCCTCCACTTCTGCTTTCACCTTTTATTTCCGTGGTACTTGCTGCTGCTTTTTGTTCATCTTCATCCTCCCTTCCTTTCTTGTCCCTGGGAATTCCTCCATTAAGTTTGAACTCTCCTGTTCACCATAAAGAGTGTAGTTCTATGGCTGAACAGTCCTTCAGCACCAAGAGATCTTTTTAACCTTCTTCCACCTCCTTTCAAAACCACTTTTGCACTTACTTTTCCCCTGGAATACTTTTAACAATTGTTTTCATATCATCATATCTTCCTTGGTCAAGTGACCAGTTGGAAAAAATACATTTACATCACGACGTTATGTTACCTTGAGGAGCAGAGCAAGGCAGTAACAGCACCTCTGAAGCCAGAATATACTTACGCTAATTGTTGGCTTAGAGGTCCCTATATCTTTTAATTAGTTGTCCTATTATTACCCTAGAGTGCTTTAATTTTAAGTGAAACATATTAGCTGCCTTATCTCTAAGGAAACTGGTCTTGATTTTATTAACTTACAGGACAGAAGAATAATTGGCACATATCATTGTCCAGAAATGTATTCAACAAAGGTATCTTTCCTTGTTTTCTAATGTTTTTATCCTCAGAGACTTAAAATTTAGGTCCTGACCACTTACCGGTCACTAAAGATCCCATGGCACTTTTTTATAGCGCGGTCATCTCAACCCCAAGCATCTGGCCAAATACCAATTTACGTAACCGTTCTGCTTACCTAACATTCCCCACCGCCACTCACCCACCCCATAGTTTCAATTGGCTACAGCATTCTCCATTGCCTCGAGTAAAATCCAGTGTATCGTTCTGCACTGTCAGTCACCACATTTCGCCTCCGAGGTGATTTCGCTTCGCTGGGAAGTGAAGTGGTTCTTCTTTCTGATGCTCGTAAAGCGCTTTGGGATCCTTTTGAAAGGGCGCTCGCTGTGTACCAGAAACGTAATTCACCATCTCAGGCTTCCCTTAGTTACAAAAGCATGTTTGATTTAGAGTTGGGCGAACCTACTTGGTGGAAATAACGCTCCCAGCCCTCTAATCTGACAAGGAACCTTTTGTCAAAGGTTGCAAAGTTCGACTGATTGCTTTCTGGGCTTTTTGTGCTGTTTGTCTGGTTTATTTTCACATTTGTTTGTACTTCCAGATTGGAGCTGTGGGAGTTCTTCAGGTTGGAAATTAAAAATACTATGAAAAATGCAGTTCTTGTTATGGTCAATCCACTGTGGCAGGAGGGTCAAATTAGTGCTCGAGGAGCACCTGAGCTTTGTGGTGTTTACCTGGCTATTCGAACACTTGAAGGTTCGCCCATCGCTAATTTTGACTGTATTTTGCATTATTTCTTTGGCAAAAGTCTCGGAATATTGAAAAAATGCTGTGCTCCATCTCTGATATCAGTGCGGTACGTGCAGAAGGTGATACTTTGCCCTAGAAGATAGGTTAGAATATGGCTAAATGTTTTTTTTTCTGCCCAGCCTCACTAATCTTACTAACTACTGCCAAGATTACCAGATACCTGCAGCAGTTTGCTGTGTTAAGAAATGAGAAGTGACAAAAGAATCAGAGCAAAAAGTTAACCGACGGAGTGATGTCACCAAAACACGTCTGTATTTAGTAGATTAAAATAACTTTTCTGCCGTTTGCGTTGTGCAGAAAGAATCCGAGTGTATAAAAGAGCACTCGTATTTCTAATATCATTGCAGATAAAATGCTTAAAGTAGCTTCATCCTAAGAAGATGTGAGCAAATTTGTTGGCGCTAAAATCTTTCCAAAGCTAATGTCTTAGAATGCACAACGTTGAGGTGAAAATAACCCAGGCTCTGGGCTACGGGGTAAAACCGTTACACACGCTGTTAGGTCACGCTTCCCCTGATGTCATTGGAACTAAAATTTCTGTTCTTAAAGCTGTGTGAAACTGTAGTTTCCAAATGGCTTTGCACCCCTCCTGTAAGATGCTTCCCCTATTTGGTTTAGGGTTTTTTTTAGACTTTCTTGGGATCGATGAACGCCGAGTGCCTGTAATTGCTTGTATTTTCAGGCTACTGAAAGTCTTATTATTTGTCTGAGATCGTGTAACAAAAATGACAGCCAATTTCTTCTGAGCCCAACTACCACACAGGTATTTTCTACATAACTGCACTCGTTATAAGCAAATGCTTGAAAGCTCTCTTGAGAAGTTTCAACGATCTATTTGAAAGCTTTTGTGTATTTTTGCTTTTGCTTGTATTATAATAGCAGAAGACTCTTTTTTTTGCCTCAGTTTTGTCTGATGCTGATCAGGCCTTCCTGGCTAGAACACAGCGTTTCCTCACCACGCACAGTATGATGCTACAGAGTTCTTGAAGGAATTTTTCTTGAGTTCCAGCTCAAGTTTTCCATTTTTGCAGTGTTTCGTACCAAAAAAAAAAAAAAAGATTGCTTTCTCTTAACACGGTAGAAAATTCAGAGATTTCATATGGCTTTGATGGAAAGCAAGCAAAAATAGATGGTTTGGGCTGCTTCACAATGAGTCATTAAATTTAATCTATAACTAAAATATAATGAAACTAGAGGGGTGCAAACTCACGTAGATGAGGGGGAAGAAAGAAAAGGGGGAGGGGGAAATCTGGCATCTCAGCAATGCCAGTTTTTATGCCTCACTTGAACAGATGTAATCACTCAAATGGCAGTGTTTCAGTAGGTCCCAAGTACTTTTGTGAGTCTGTAATACCGTGCAGTGGATGCTGCTAAAAAGCAACTTTTCAACCCAGTTCTCTCACTGTGCCCTGTGAAATATTGCGTAGGGTTTTTTTTTTTAATTATGCCAAATGCAGTGCTGGATTGGGTAATGCAGCAAGGTGCCTGCTGCTCTCTGCTGGCTTCCAAATATTGCAGAATAATATTGTCTAGAAATCCACAAAAGTCACAGTCTGTACACTTTCAGTAATAACCATAGTATGTATTACGTACATGATAAATCAATAATGTGGCTGCGTTATTCTTAAAGGGCAGTTTTATCTCTTATTTGGCATTACTGACACTAAGTCAATGTAGCTCTATTGTTCTTAAAGTCTTTATATTTAATTTTATTCTTTAATCACACGATTCAAAAGAAACACTTAGAGGGAAGGCTGAGGAGAATTAGAATTTCCAGAATAACGTTCTGTTTGTTTTCTACGAATGGCTTATTTTTAACTTCTCCTGCCATGCTTCAGATCTACTCCAGGTCGCCTAAGAGTAGAATTCAGGTCCTCCTCTTTGAAATCTTCTTGACTGTCTAAGGGGTTTCTTTATAGCATTGCATTAATATTTTTTTCCACTGAACTGCCTTAAAAAATATAGTCAAGAATACTGCCCATTGAAACAACTGTTCAATGCACATTTGATGTGATTACACTCTGTATAGTTTTCCTTGCTTGAAATTGCAGATCTCTGATATTCCAGCACTCAGGCCTTCACAGCATGCGCTGTATTTATGAAATTCGTGAGCGCTGGGGGATGGAGTTTCTGCATAGGTACAGCTGAGACTGTGTCGATGCCTTTTGGAATACAGGGACTGAAAACGTGCGTTCTCTTGTGCAGTGCTCTGGGCCCTGTTTTAGAGAGACAGAGACCTTGTTACTACCTGAAGGTTGTGTCAGAGCAGAAGCTTTCACTGAAAGAAGAAAAACCAAAATGAAGCAGACCCTTTTCAATTGTATTTCCCAACAGAAACCCTGAAATGTTCAGTATTTACCCCAAATAACACTATCCCATGGCAGAATCCCACTTTCAGGAGCTGAGCATGTACTTAATTTCCAGGTGTTGCTCCTCCTCGCTGAACGTGGGGTCCAGGGGAATGTTGTTTCTTCCATTCTTCTGGCCTGATTGAGTTTGCAGACAAATGGCAATAGTCAAGTCTTTTAGAGACCCAATGGGTTAGTCAGGTTAGACGTAGCCCTGGCCGGCACGGCTTCGCTTCGCCGCGTCTTTTCTCTCCGGTTTAAATCCACTTTCTCCGTTTTTTACAGATGGATCCGCATGAAAACATTTTGTTGAGCACGCTTGAAATTAAAAACGAGATGGCTGCCTCCGAGGCTGTGATGGGGCTTGGGGACCCTAGGAGCACGATGCTGGCGTACGACACTTCGAGCATCCAGTACCGGAAAGCCGGGTTACCCCGACACAGCTTTGGTCGCAACGCCCTGGAGCGACACGTGGCACAGAAGAAGAGTAGGCTACGGAGACGCGCCTCTCAGCTGAAAATCACCATTCCTGACTTGACTGACGTAAATGCCATAGATCGATGGTCGCGTATATTCTTCCCTGTCGTTTTTTCCTTCTTCAATATTGTCTATTGGCTTTACTATGTGAACTAAGAAACAAAGCCACGGAGGAAGCAAGGACTGGATTTCTCTTCAAATCGGTTGTACAGCCAAAAGTGGGACTTAGAAAAATTCTATTCAGGACAAAAAGTTATTTTAAAACACCTTAGTTGCTGGCCCACTCTATGGTCTGTTTTTATAAAGTTTTGGTTGTATCGGCTAAATCCTAAATATATTAAGTTGCAGTATGGACATATCCCCTTACCAAAATGTCAGTGCATTTTGAGTGTGAAGGCAAATTGGATTTTGACAATCACTTCTGTCTCATTGTCCCTCACTCTGGTTTTTTTTCTTTGTTTCTTCTTCCTTTCCTTTTTTTTTTTTTGCCTTTTTTTCCCCCTGCTGGCCATTTGAGTTTAGGGATGCAAATTCAAGAGTGGCGTTTGAGCAACAAGCTCTAGTTTCGACAGCATTCCCAGGGAAACTGCTTATCCGAGACCTGCATCTGCACTTAAGGGAGTGTGTTAAGTTGTTACCATGCTTTCGAAACACATACACTGTACTTTTTAAATGTGTAAACTTGAAAACAAGTAGTGCCTATCATCTTTCCAAGATGATGATGGTCAGAGGTTTCCCAACCATATTCAGGTATTCCCTGTTATTTATTGAAAGAGCTAAACCTTTGACTGATAATATTAGGGTTGGGTGTTTGCACAGAAGCTGAAGCAAAAAGCACTCGTTTTGTTTGGGTTTTAAAGAGAGAACATAAGCTCACAGTTACGACGACCGCGGTTGTGCTGAGGAGAGGAATGTAGCAATGGGGTAAAACCGCATCGACTCTGAATGGGGAGATGTGCTACTTTTTCATGCATCGAGGAAAGAAAATCATCCGTCCAAAGTGCCAAAATCGCTTGGCCAAACAGTAATTCTCGAGGGGGCTGAAGGAAACCGAGGGTGCCCAGCCCCGAGGGGCTGGGGGGAGCGCGGGAGCGATTCTGAAGCCCAGGGGCAAGGAGAAGGAAGGCTGAGTGTGCGTAAAAGCGTGTTTGTGTGTGTGTATCCACGCGTACCCACGCGCTGTGCAAATGAATGTTGTTGGCTGTGGGACGTACCTTAGGCTGAAATACTCCCGTGGGGCTCTGCGATTTCTTCAAAAACGATCTCCCCACTGTTGCGCTCGAGCGCGATGTTGTGCTTCACCACGTGGCACCCAGCTCGGCTGAAGGTGCTGCGCCTCCGCCGACAGCCGAGACCCGAGCGTATGCATTTCAGCACAAAACACACCGACAGGGTATTTTTCTCTGTCTGATTTTGGCAGTACCATTTCACTTTTTTATGTTGTTTTCCTTACCGTACTGTTTTGAAGGGAGAAAAAGGGCAGCCGTCACTTGAAGAGCTCGATCACGTTCTTGAATGTTTCCTGTTTAGGGTGATTTCGATTGAAAAGCTAGCAAGTTTCAGGTTTGCTTTTTTAAAATTTCATTCCATAGAGCTTTACTTTTATAGGCAAAATAGAATAGACAAAATAAAATAGTTTTATAGGCAATGTAGGGTTTACCGTTTAGTCCATCGTGGAACGTTTTTCTGTGAAAAAATAAAAATAAAGAATGCAGGAACTGTATAAAAAGTATAATTTCTTGATGACTTTTACGAAATCAGATCCCCAAGATTGACACAAAATATTTCATGAAGCAAAAGCCACATCTGTTGTATCTCTGCTACCTCTCACCTGGGTACACGTTTCTGAAAGAAACTAGAATTCAGGCATCTTCCAAACAGCGAAGGATTTATTCCAGGCAGATACTTATGCCCCATTTAAGTATTCCTTTGGCAGTACTTTAAGATTGTTCTCAAGAATACTTCTCATAAAATATTGCCTTTGAATTTTTTGTTCTTGCTTTCAAAGAGTCATTTTCTTACAAGTTTCTGTGTTTTCTCCCCACCCCCCCCCGCATTTGACAGTGAATGACAGGGATGGGAGGAAAACGGTTCTGGGGAGTAAGAGGCCAACTTTCTGACTCAGTTTTGAGCGCGTTGGATGCTTATTTCTGCTTCAAATGGGAGAGACCAGTTCTGAGCCTGACATGGGGCTTCCGACTGGATTTCCTAACTCTGTAGGTGCATTTGCAATCGTGACTGGTTAGGTAGGAATCGTGGTGGAATCTTTTCCTACTTTGAAGATGCCACGTCAGGATTCAGTATTTCTCTTCCAAGCCTGTTCTTTAAAAATGCTATTAATTGTCATGATTAAAAGCGATCTTATAGTATTCTTCTTTCGTTTCACAAATCGCTGCCGACTCCTTTTTTTTTTATTTTTTGGGTTTTTTTGTTCCGCAGAAGCGTAGTGTGAATACAGGGAGCTCACAGCCTGTTTGGGGTCGATACGCATCGAATATAAAACCTTACAGAGAACGCGTTGACTCTCTGCATGGGTTTACTGCATCAGCTGTTGACGAAAACCACGGAGACTGAATCCTAGAACTGCACATCAGCAATTTATCTGAAGTTAAAGTACAAGCCATAACGCTCTCTGATGTTGCTGGTCAGAGAGTGAAAGAAAAATGTCTGGTTTCTGCTCAGGTGTCACTAGGAAAGATAAACTATCTGGGGGAAAGGAGCACTTTCACTTTTACTGCGTCCTTCTGGCTGTTAATATGTGTATAAAATTAGGGAAAAAAAGAAGGATTCTATCATTTTGTACTAAGGCTTAACACTGTGATATAAAAAGATGGGGTGAGAAAGACTGGTGAGGTTCAGCAAAGTGTCACTCGAGCCCGAGGTGAGCACTTACTCCTCTTCCGAGATACTTGAGTGAAAGTGAGAAATTCTGCCAATATCCATGAGAAATGGGGTTTGCTATGTGTGCTACCCTCCAGGTAAACTAGAATAAATTTGCTTTTACTTTAGATCTGACCGAAAATGACTACTCTAGATCTTTTTAGTCGTGGTAATTACTGTTAGCTTCACTAAGCGAAATGTCAAAGTCGATAATTTTAGATAAACCTTGTAAGATAATTCCAGTTGCACATTTTCTTGTTCTATTAGACGTAATAGCCAGCAATTAAGGTGTTTTTCATCTTTGTGAAATTCATGGGCAAATTATGACTATAACATGGCACAGTTTTAATGAAATCTTTGAGATCAATCTGTAAATATATACTGTACATGACTGCTAATAAGTATGATACACATTTTCAGGACTGAAAATTCATTGCGGCATATTTCCGTGTTTGCATAAGGAATGTTCTGTTTCTGTCCTATCACAGTTCGAGGACTGGGAAGAAAGACTCGAGCAATGACATTGTGCCCATTTCTTTTCTCATTCCCAGGGGAGGAAAACAGAGTCTTAGAGCACGTCACAGAGTTTTTCGGAGGGTTGTTTTTTTTTTTCCATTCTGCTGAAAAGGACATGGAATCCGTAAGGTACAAAAGCACAACGCGTCGAGAAAATGAGCAGCGGTCTCGCACCTGGGGAAAAAAAAAATCATATTTATTTCAGACAAATACGCATTGAAATTAAAGCTTAATTAATTTTCACCGATTATTAGGCTGTATTCCGATCCTGGTCCATAACACAGCACTAAACATAAGTGAAGGGATGAACATTTTCCAGTGATACGTGCATAAGGACATAGCCCTAGATGTCTCTAGGGACATAGGTGTGTATATACACGTATATGCACACGGATTCATGTGTTGGTATGTTAAAGGAATAAGCTAATAACAGTTTTGTTTGCTACCATCAATCGCTGTACGAATCTATTTTTTGAGAAAAAAAAAAAACAAGGGGAAAAAAAAGGTCGATGTATTTAAAAAAAAAAAACAAGAAGAAAACAAAACAAAAACCAACTTACTATACAGGGTAACCGGGCATTTCTAGATCAGCAGATCGATGCTTACAATTCGTACGGAGCGTTGCACCGCTCAACATGGCGATAGTACTGTACCTCCTAGCATCTGGAATTAGACTAGTCCTCACATTGCTTGCCTGTTTCTTCTCTCTCTCTTTTTATAACAGCATTGTCCACTAGTAAGTTTTCGAATCCAACAAATTCTGTAGGGAACCAGGAGAAAAAAAACAACAACAAAAAAAGGCAAAAATATTAACTATTTCTAGAAAATAATCTAGGGTGGGATGGCCAGGGTACAATACTATATCAGTAGTGATCATACTATTTTGCTCTGTGTACATAAAACATACAATGTGAGCAACCATAACTTAAGCTGAGCGTGTGTAAATATTATCAGATTTCTTAAACATTTTTAACTTCTAATTTGTACTTTATGGTAAGGCAAAAAGCTAATTCTACTCATGGTTTAGGTTAATGTGTCCTAAAATTATGTAAATAACTAAATAAGCTGTAAATGAGCAGTCGATAGATACGGTAATTGTTTAGTGACTTTTTTTTACTAAGTACAATAATTGCAGTGCTCTAGCAGAGTAATTTAAACACCCTTTTGCATAAACAGATTTGGATTCCAGATATTAAAAAGTACAGAAAGTACTGTGGTGTAAAATAGCCGCTGTGGCGACGTTACTGCTAGCACAATCGACTCTTTTTTTTTTATGGATAAAACGTTCAGGCAACAGAAGAGAGTAGGCTGGCACTCAGTACTCAGATTAGTAGGAACAGAGTAGTTTTCACTTACAATAAGGCACCTTTGTGTTGCTCCAGCGAGTGGGGAGCTGAAGGAATCCAGGGTAAGCGAGAATTCAGCTGTCAGGGATTTCATTACAGAAAGCCTGCATATTGCGTCTGTCTGTTTCTGAAATCTCCTGTGGTATCTAAGAGTAGACATATATTTCTTTTTTTTCTTAAAAAAAAAAAAAAAGAATGTGTGACTGTCATTAGATAGCGTAGTCCCCGAAAGCCAAAGAATCTTCAACTCCGTAAATTGAAAGGGAAATCTAGGAAGTCACTGCTTAACACCAAAGGTAAAGCTTAATAAAATGCACTAGGAACTTTGTCTAAATTTTTAAGAAGCAAATGGAATGTTGATCAAAAATACTGCCCTATTCTACTTTGTAAACATAGTAATGATTTAAATATCATTAATACGAAATTGAAATAGATCATCTCTACAAGAATATGCAACACTGACATTTCATAAG